TCCCTGCCAAAACAGTTTGGGTTGCTTTGTTTCCAGTGAGGGGATTGTGACTTGTGAACTGATGGACACGGTGGTGGCTTTTGATCCTCTTCCTCCTCTCCAAGTTCTTGAAGAGAGTCCTGAAGAGTGGCAGGACCCTGCACTGCTGCTGCTGTTTAAGGAGATAGACTTCAACCTATGATAAATCCCCTTAAAGTGTGATACTTTGGRTCAAAAATCAGGAGATTATGATAGAGGTATGACAAAATGACACACCATTGGCTGGTCCAAAGCTTGTCACATACTGTGGCTACAAAGCTTGCCAGATACTATAGCTAACTAAACATAAAATGTTGTAGATCCTGCTCTTGGAAATGAAATTATTTGAAATACAAGAGGATTTTGATTTGCAAATAAAAGCCTTCAAGTGGGACACAGCGATGTTGTCCATGTGTGCTTAGCCTTTAAAATACTCCAACAAACCTGCTTCATCTTCTGTTTCCATATAGGAGGAAAAAAAAGTCCCTTTCTGAGAACTTACACAACAGGGCAAGTCTGAAAATCTATATTCACTAATGTGGAGGTCTGAAAAACAGAMAAGCGGGAACTGTGCAGGGAAGAGCTACAGGTGAGAGGATGCACTAAGAATAGAGGTTGAACATTGCTATTGAATCTCCTGCTCTGCAAGACCCTGAGGAACCCCATGGAGCACATGCAGATCTTAAAGGCTTTGCTGGACTGTTGGAGAAGGACACCGGACTCTTCCTCATCAGGGTGGGTTGTAGCAGGGATTTGCTGGCTGTCCTTTCCCTGTAAAGCCCTGCCTGTGTGCGCTCCTCCTCTCCACACGTGCCCCTCGAGCCCGCGCCGGGCTCCACGCGCCGCCGGCAGCACCGGCTCTTCCCTGCCATCCCGCTGAAATCCCCAGCCGCCCTGTCAGACGGGCTGACCTAAATCCCTCTCCTCTGACCTCCCTAAACCCTGCTGCCATAAATTCCCGCCGCGACACTCGGGAGGGGATCGGCTTGACGTGGCGGGGCTGAGCGCCGGTGCCATCGGCTCGGCGGTGCTGCTGTCACGGGTTATCTGGGGTCCGGCGGGGTAATGTGGATGCGGGCCGCACGTGGCGAGACATAATGTGGATTAGCCAGCAAAGGGTGTCCCCGTAGGGCTGTGACACAGTGACGTCCAGGGACACCATGACGAGAAGGAGATCCTCCTCATGCTTCCTGGGGTGGCTTCCTAAATGGGGTATTCACTGCCCATCATCGGCACACTTGTGTTTTCCCTAATATTTTCATGGTGTTTTAGAGCACAGGGGACAAAGCAAAGGTCAGAGTAGCAGCAAACACTCACTGGTGTCACCCCTCCTTTGGTGTTTAAGGTAGGACCAAAGCCTGGAGAAGGAAGGACTTCTTCCTGCAAGGAGATGGCTTACCAGGCCTTTCCTCCCCCTCATTTTTGGTAACCACACACAGTGAATTTCCTTCCAAGGTGTGCAGCTTTGGAAGGCATCAGCACTCAGATGATTGCATTAGGTGGGAGGAGAAGCCAGGGTGAGTGAGGACCAGACCTGCCTTTATTTCCCTGCTCTGCAGGAGACAGAGGGGTGGCTTGGACAAGATGAGGGGGTCCAGCATGCAAACTTGCTATGTAAATATAAACTGTTGGAGCACAAGGTGTGCGGAAAGGTGGCACATCCCAAATCTCCATGCTCCTCCAGGTTTCCACAGAGAGAGACTTTTCCCCCCAGAAGAGCACAGCATGCTCGCTATTGACCCGAGCCCAGCAAGTGCATGAAGAGGGATCAGCTCTGTTTGTTTGCGCCTCATAATGATGTCAGGAAAAGGCTTTTTTTTCCTTTTTTTTTTTTTTTCCTCCCAGCCTGGCTTTATCCCKTTGTGCGGGGCCCTCGGTGCGTCTCACACCCGGGTGCTGTTAGCAGGACCATTAGCTTAACAGCGCCCTGGCTCCAGCTGTCTGTCAAAGGCTGAATTGCAATGCAAATGGACGGGCCCTTATCGGCCACCTGTAGCTCTTCAAAGACAGCCTGGGTGACAGCGACGTCCCCAAGGAGCCTCCAGGAGAGGCGTCTGGAAGCGCGAGGCTCGGCCTCCCGGAGGCTTAGCAGGTACTGCCTCAAGAAGGAGGCCGCTTTTGGGTGAAGAACATGCGGTATTTTTGTCGAGCAGGAACGTGTCACGTCGTATCGCGGCTAGCGGGCAGCCAGCCTTGGTTGTCTCTTGGGATGTAAAATCAGTTATTTCGTAGTTAGCGCTCTCCTCGATGTTTTTCACCTGCCGAAATTAAGGCGTGTTTCAAAGTGTAGCTAGTCAAAAAAAAAAAAAAAAAAAAAAAGCCATTTTTAATATTTAGGTAGTTTGAGAAATGTCTAAAATCAATGTTTTGCACATATTAATGGTTGGGTCTAATGTCACTGTCCTGCAAGAGCAGGTAGAGGAGTCACCTGCTGCATGTTTCCAGTCACTTTTCAAATTTATTTTTATTTWTTWWTTTTTTWAATATCAAATTATCATAAGCATCACAGTGAAAARGGGGGTTTCAAGGCCGGTACGTCCTATACAGAAATAAGAAAATCAACCTCAGTGAGCTGGGTTATGCTGGAGGCTTGCGAACAAGACACTAAATTAAGGCTGGATTCTCCATTTTCCAAGCCTCTAAGGGTTTATTCCTTTACAGAGGAGTAAATCATACCCCAAACATCCCCAAACTTGGATGCTATCCAGCCTGTTGACCCGTCGAGGTCAGTGCGCTGCTGGGTTGGGTACCAGGTGCCCCACAGTCGCATCCGCCGCTGCCGCAGACTATCMCAGGCCCATTAGCAGCTCAGATTGTGCCTCTAAATTCATTTGCTGGCCAATTTGGGGGTGGAATTAGGAGCCCATTGCCTTCCTCAGGCTCCCATTTCATAATCGACCTTGCTAAATTCTTCTCTGAAGTGCCAGCAAGTAACACTCCTTCCCTTCGGTGACTTGCTTCTTACTCACCGTGAAGGGCAGACGAGCAGATTTTATGACTGAGCCAGTCATTAAACATTACACTTTACCCCAAATTGATGCATTTCTAACTATTTTAGCCCCAGATGGCACAAACAGGGCTTTCAAGGCGGAGCTGGGTGCGTGGAAGGGAGACCACCAGGCACAGCAATGCCAGGCAGACACCCATGCAGCACCCAATACTCAGAGGGATGCACTTCCAAAAGTGCATCCCTCTGGCCAAAAAGCCATTAAAGTGCAATACTCAAATGAGCGTATTTTACTTTATTTTACTTTATTTTACTTTATTTTGTTGATATTTTCCTTTACTTCATTTTTTTCAGGCTGCCTCAGGTTTACTCCTTTACTCCAGGTTTTGGGGGGCACCCCTTACCCCCCCCCTTTCCCACCCCTCCGGGGGGTGCCAGCGGGGGCGCTGCGCACCCGCGCACCTCGCGGCAACCCGAGCCCGCAGCTTGCGCAAGGCGCTTAGAGATAAATATATATATATATAAATATATAATTCTGCTTTCTTTTTTTTTTTTTT